ATATCCCTTTTTAAATCAAGAAAGGTATGTTATACTTCACCAAAGAAGACATTCAGATGGTGAACAAACATATGAAGAAATGTTCAAAATCCTTAGCTCTAAGAGAGATGCAAATAAAAACAACTATGAGCTATCATCTCACCCCAGTAGGAATAGCAAAATTTAATAGAACAGCAAACAACAAATGCTGGTGAGGTTGCAGAAAAACTGGAACTCATTCACTGTTGGTGGGAGTGTAAAATGGTGCAACCACTATGGAAGGTTGTATGTAACCACTATGGAAGGCTGTATAGCACTTTCTCAAAAAAATTGCAAATAGAAATACCATTTGACCCAGCAATTCCACTACTGGGAATATACCCTAAAGAAACCATAATTGCCATCCAAACAGATATATGCACACCTACGTTTACTGCAGCTTTGTTCACAATAGCAAAGAGTTGGAAACAACCTAAGTTCCTATCAACAAATGAATGGAGAGAGAAGCTTTGGTATATTCACACAATGGAATACTATGGTGCATTGAAAACCAAGGAATTCATGAATTATTATACAAAATGGGTGACCCTGGAGGATGTTAAGCTGAGTGAAATATCTCAGTCACAAAAGGACAAATACTGCATAATGCCACTGTTGTAAAATGGGACTGACATCAGGGTTAGGGAAAAACTAAGAAAAGAAGGGGTAAATAATGTATACTGTATTGATACAGATAAGGAAGAGAATTGTTGAAAAGGGATTTATTGGCATGACAAGAGTCCAGAATGAAAACTGCACAGTGGAGAGTACTGGGGGGGATTGTATAACCATGAAAGAAGTTTGTTTGGTTTTTGTTTTTGTTTTTGTGTTTTGTTTTTTTTTTTACTTTTCAAAGGGAAAACAAACTGGGAGGGCAGGGTGGGCAGGGAGGAAAGTGCAACAATAAATGAATGGAAATCCAAAGTCTCTGTAAACTTTCATTAAAATTAATTAAAAAAAGAGAAAGGTATGTTAGGGCTGTGCCCTTTCTACATACTTATTCAATCTCTATGCTGAAAAAATAATTTTAGAAGCTGGACTTTATGAACAACAATGTGGCCACAGGATCAGAAACAGATTCATCAAGGACCTATTTTTGCAGATGATACAACCTTGCTTATTCAAAGTGAGGACTTTAAACATTTGCTGCAGAAGATCAAAGACCACAGCCTTCAATATGGATTACCGCTCAACACCAAGAAAACACAAATACTCACCACTGGGTCAACAGGCAACATCATGATAGATAGAGAAAAGTTTGAAGTTGTCAACCATTTCATTTTACCTGTACCAGCAGTGAAGAAATAAAATGATACACTGGGAAAGCTTGCTGTCAAGGACCTTTCTAAAGTGCTAAGGAGCAATGATGTCAGTTAAAGGCTAAGGTGCACCTCATTCAAGCCATGGGTTTTGTGGTGTTCTTTCCCCGCAATCACTAGCTATGCTACGAGAGTCGGACAATGAGCAATGTGGACAGAGGAAAAGCAGATGCTTTGAGCTGAGGTGTTGGAGAAGAGTACTGAAGATCCCATAGACTTACAAAAGAAGAAAGAAATATGACTTGGAGAAAAAGCAACCAGGTTGTTCCTTAGAGGCAAGGATGGTGAAGCTTCATCTCATATACTTTGGGTATGTTGTTGAGGAAGCGTCAGTGCTTGGAAAAAGGCATCACACTTGGAAAGGTGGAGGGTTACCAAAAGAGAGGAAGCCTCTCAATAAGATAGACTGTTGTGGTTAGGTGCTGCTGAGTTGAGTGTGACTCATAGCAACTCTATCAACAGATCTGAACCCTGTCCTATCCTGCGCTAGCCGCACAATCTCTGACACACTCGAACCCGTGGTTGCAGACACTGTGTCAGTCCACTTGGTGGAGGGTCTTCCTCTCCTGTGCCATTTCTCCACTTTTCCAAGTGAGATGTCCTTCTCCAGTGAATAGTCTCTCCTCGCAACATGTTCAAAGTATGTGAGATGAAGTTACACCATCTTTGCCTCCAAGGAGCAGGCTGGTTGCAACTTTTTTAAGACATACCTGTTCTCTTGGCAGTCCATGGGATATTCAGTATTCTCCTCCAACACCACAGTTCAAAGGCATTAATTTTTCTTCTGTCATCTTTATTTATTGTCCCTTTCTCAGCAGCACAGCAAGTGATTAAAAAGACCACAGTCTGAATCAGTCTTCAAACTAACATCATTGCTCCTCAATAATTTGAAGAGGTTCCTGACTGCAGAGGGTTTGACATAGTGACTATAACAGTAGACTCAAGTTTGTCAGGGATGATGATGGCACAGGATAGGGCAATTTTCAGGCCTAGTGTTTATAGGGTCACTGTGAATTGTACTCGGCATGACAGCACCTAACAATAAAACAAGGAGCAAGATTGGAGGTGGGGGAATTCTCTGTTCATCAGCTGGTCATTCAATGAGCAGAAGGTCATGCTCTTGGCCTAGTTTAGATTCTCTAAACTGAGTGGTTGTAGTGCTCTCTCTGACATCAATGTTCTTGTACATCTAGGATCCCATCTGGCTCTGTGACTCTTTTCTTCTCCAGCACCCACTCAGCTGTCCCCTATGGTGAGGCAACCTCAGACAGCAGACCTACTCCTTGCCTTCTAGAAAGAAAATACTTGTTCTGCAAGTACAAGCACGGGTCACAGGGCAAATACCATGTTGTAAGCTTGCCACAACATGGTTGGGGGAAGCATGGAGAGGAAGCATGGTGGAGGAAGCGCTAAGGAGAAGGCTTCCCTGCACTCATGGGGGCACCAGGGGTCCAGCTGTGTGTCCAGCATGCCAACACGTACCGAGACTCGGAGGGTTGTGGGCCAGCTGTCATCCAGCATGGGGCCATGGTCAGGGTCCTCCAGGGCATACTCTACTGAGAAGGTCACTGGCTTTATGTAGTCAGCAGTGTCCTGTTCGGGAATGAGAGAAGGGAAGAATATTCATTTCTGGGCCAGGCTCATTGATTCTGAGCTACAACTTCCACCTCCCGAAGACCCTTGACCGGGTGGGCTGATACAGTGACTACAGACCTCAATGGGCTCAAGTGTGTCAGAGATTATGAGGATGTCACAGGATAGGGCAGGGTTCAGATCTGTTGTTCATAAGGTGGCCATGAGTCATGCTTGACTTGACAGAACCTAACAACAACAACAACAACAACAACAACAACAACAAACCTGGTAGGAGATAGAGGAGCTGTGGATAGAGGTTCCCAGTAGAGTCTGTGAATGAAAAGAATGTGCTGAATGGACAGGGTCTATGGCTTAGTTTATGCTAACCCAGCTCCTATGCATCCTTCAAAGCCCAGCACCCATTGCCCCAAGACCTCAGGCTCTAGGAACCCGGGCTGACTTTTCTGAGTTGTCAGCCATTGAACAACTGGGCAGCTGAGCTGAGTGCCTCTTGTTGCACTTCAGAGTGAAATCTGTAGGGAGCTCTGGTGGCTTAGTGGAAGGAAGCTGCACTGCAATCCCAGAGGTACACAGTTCGAATCCACAGATGCTCTGCTGGAGAAGAAGGGGCAATCTCCTCTACCAGTCAGATTCGATTTGACGGTACACACACAAAGAATAATAAAATAAAGTGAGAGCTATGGTGTGGGTGTTTGATGCTTCCAAAAGAGGCATGTTTATCATCCTCTTTTCTCTGTAAAATAGGACATCAGGCCACCACTGTGCCAGTGACACCATTGGTTTCTTTACTCCAGGCTGGCCTCTCTCTGCTCCACCTCACAGCTTGTCCATAGCTCTGGCTGGCCTTCCCTGGCCTTTATTTTCAGCCTGTGCCTGCTATCCCATCTTTTCTAGACCCCCCAGTGGCTGACTTCAGTTCTCCCAACTCCATCTCATTGAACCCACATGCCTCTTTGGAAGGGAGCTAAGTAAGTAAACATGGGAACCTGAAAGCAGAGACAGAAAGGATTGTGGAGGGACACAGCAAATATGTCACACGGCCCTTTCTCTAAGTCATAGGTAGAATGTGGAACGGCCAAAGTTCAGGACACTATCCCTTGGGCTGGCCTCTAGTCATCTGCTGGGAGCTCAGGATTGCCTAGCCTGCTGGTCTCCATGACAGGCACCCTTTCCCCATTGGAACTTGAGGCTCTGGTGGCTGGGGCTGCTGGGATGTCAGCTCACCAGGACATGGAAGTTGATCTGCTCACAGTGCTCTTGGCCAGAGGAAAGCAGGACAGCCCTGTGGGTATACCGGTCTCCACCCTCGTCCAGGTGGGCCCGCGGCGTGTACCGTCTCTCGTCCATGGTGGCATTGTACCTGAGGCCTGGAGGACAGAAGAGGGCAGGAAGACCACAGAGGTGGAGCCACATCCTCCCCAGGGCCATTTGTCTGGTTTGAAATTAACTCTGGGAATCTAACTCCATGAGAGAGCCTTGAAGGCTGGTCAGGGATCAGTCACTCCTCTCCCACAGTCCCCACCATAGGCCTCTACCCTCCACACAGGAAGTGAAAGTGCATGGTGGAAATGAGGAGGTGGAAACTAAAGAGCAGAAGGTGAAATAGAGATGGATCAAGAGGGAAAGGAACGACAGATGAAGGGAAAAGTGAAGCTGGAAGAGGAGGAGAGGAGACAGAGGGGGGCCAGGGTAAGCACCCCCAAAGTCAGCACATCTCTCCCTTCTCCTGGTCTAGCTCTCAGCCCTGGGATTCCCACTGAGCCTCTGCAGGTTCAGTTCCTGCTCACACTAATGAGGGGCTGACCAGGCCCTGCCACCAGCTCCTCACGCCTAGGACTCCTTCCTGGAGGTTAAGACCTGCAGCCCTTCAGCAAGGAGGAGCTTCTTTCTGCAAACTCTAGGAACACCTCAGTCCCTTCTCCCACGTCCCAGACAGTCCTCTGAGCACTCTGGGTTCTCCTAGTTTTCTTCTTTGACAGAGGATGTCAAAAGAGAAGGACAGTATAAAAGGAATATAGGATTAGGTATTATTGGCATGACAAGAGTCCAGAATAAGAGCTGCATAGTAAAATGGACTGGTGTGGGGGTGGGGGTCTATATAAAAACGAAATAGCATTTTTCACCAAAGAAAAAGGCAATCTGGGGAGAAGAGGGGGCAGGGAGGAAAATGTGCAATGATGAACGACTGGAAACCCAAGTTCTTTATGAACTTTCATTAAAATCTGAATTAAAAAAGAAAAGGGAACACAGCCACCGTGGCCAGCCTTTGCACTCCTCTCTCCCGCAAGTCACACGCCTCTCTTTCCTCTGTGTGGTTCCCCTCCAGACGTGCTCACATTCAGATGGGCCCAGCCAATCTCCAGAGCTCAGCTTTTACTTCCTGGGGCTGCCTGTTACTTCCTGGGGCTGCCCTATACAGGGGCCTGACCCCATGCCTGCTCAGAACAGACAGTATCTCAGTTGGTAACCCCCTGCCCAGATTCATCTGATTGTCTGAGCTGTGACAACTGCTGCTGGGGTGTTCCATGTGCCCAACCCCTAACTTCCAACTCCCTCTGTGCTGGCTCCCTGGGTTCAGGCTGACTTTTTGGCTTCTACAGGACAGTTTACTTTGCGACCTTTAGTCCCTTATTCTGGCTCTGTCTGCACCCAGAGTCCTCCTCCACTGCCCTTTCTCCATGTGGTCACCCCTGTTTACCACCATCCTCACCTTCTTTGCACATGCATCGTGACCTTCATAGGGACACCCCAGATGGTGCCTGTGCTTAGAGCAGGGGATTAGTATCTATCTAAAAACCCTTTGTCACTGAGTGAATTCTAACCCCATGTTATGGTGTAGGGTTTTCGTGACTATAATCTTTACAGAAACAAATCACCACAGCACTGCTGGCTGGGTTTGAATGACCAGCCTTCATGTTAGTAGTTAAGTGTAAACTGTGTCACAACTGAATGATCTTGAATGGGAATTAAATGATCTTGGATGGGCATTAGAAGTCATCAAAGAACATCTAGCACTTGCTTACGACCCACTTCAAAGAAAGCCCAGGCTGAGGGACAAAGGCCAGCAAGAGAGAGGAGGTGGGGGTGTGTGGGGAGCGGGGAGGCAGGGCCTGGTTTACCGACAGTTTCTGTTTGGAAATAAGGTGCCAGGAAGATGGGTGTGAAGCAGAGGAAGGCAGCCATGCAGGTGGCGTCCCTGCCGCTGCGTTTGCAGTCCCGGTGGAAGATGTTGATCTTGGATGGCTCAAAGTGGAGGCTGGCATTGATCTGCACCACTGGGCGGGACCTGCAGGAGAAGGGCCAGTGAGGGCAGGGCCTACCAGAGCTGGGGAGGGTGGAGAACTAGATGGGAATGGAATCTGCAAAGGCAGCCCCGAGGGTGAGGTGGAGCAGGGGATCCACTAGGTAGCTTCCAGAGAACTAGGCAGAGAAGGGCACAGGTGGACAAGGAATTGGGCCCCTAATAGCCCTTGGAGGTGGCCTTTCATCATTTCCTAGGGCTGTATGTGACACAGACTATGCCTCTTTATTATCTTTTACATAGATCTCCCCAGCCCTGGCGTTATATATGACACTTTGGAGAGCTTTAAAAGAAATCCCTGATGACTAAAGATACACTCACACAAAAAATGTCATAACACACTTAAAAAACATTTGTCTATAATAGCTGAAATAGATTTTATATATATTTAATTATATGTATATACATAGATATACATACATACACACGTGTGTGTAATACACACACACACACACACACACACACACACACACACACACACTGCCAACCCAAAGGCAGGTGATTCAAATCTGTTAGCTGTTCTCAAGGAGAAAGCTACTTTCATGCAAGGAGGTTTAGCCATGAGTCAGTTCCGACACAGTGGCAAGTAACAGCAGCAACAACATATATAAAAAGATATCTCCAAATAATGATATATGTAATATAGTTGTTTTTTATTTGCACCTCCCTAATGAAGGCGTTCTGGTGACTCAGTGGTAAGGAATTGTGCCGTCAACCCGAAGGCATGCTGTTTGAATTCACCAGCTGCTCCATGGATGAAAAGATGGGCAATCAACTCCCATGTGATTTGTCACTGAAAACCTGCTGGAGGGTCAGCTATGAGTCACTTCCAACTTCATGGTACACAACAACAACAAATTATATATATATCTGAGATATAGAAATATCTCTTAAGGTAATTTTCCATGTATATATATTTCTTAGGCTAATTAAGTTAGAATCCTTAAGGATCGAGGTAAGATTCAGGCATTAATAGTATTCTATTTAACCATTCATAAAGATTTTGTTTACAACATTAATTACCATACACACAATGTATCCAACACTCTTTATGCCATTTCCATGTGACTCATATTTTAATAATCATCCTATTTTACCCCCTCCTGCTTTCTGAGATTTGTCTCTGGGAAAATGCTACCCTTTCAATCTTATATGGTTAAATATTCTGAGAAGCAAGTGCTTCCCTGGTGTTAACTGTCTACTCTAAAGCCCTATCTATTGTTTGCTTGAAAGTTCAGCCACAAGAATGAATTTTGTTCCTTATGTTTGAAGGGTGACTAAATGGACTAGGAGGTTCCACAAGGCTCTACCAGACCAACAGGGCTGGTCATTGTAATGTTTTTCAACTCTCCAATTTTTATACACTTACAAATTCTCTGGAAATCTTGGAAAAGTAGATTCTGACTCAACCAATTGGCAGAGCACAGGATTAATGACTTCTGAGGCTTTAGAAGGTCCACAGGTGAGTCCAATAGGCAGAAATAGTAGAGAACCAAGGGATTTAACTACAAATATTCCCAGAGAGGGCTTCGCCCACAATGTCATCACCACGTTAAGTAACACGGTTTAGGTCTCAAAAGTTAGGACTTTATTAAATCCTTTATGTGAGAGTGCTTCTCTTGTGTGTGTGAACAGGCACATGCATATCAAATACTCAGTTTATGTATCATCTGAAAGGCTCACTAGGCCATGCCTGATGACCTGAGCCCTGGCTGGTGCTGACACAGTAAATAACCTTATTAGATAGTTTCTGTAAAGCTATCTAATGGATGTAAAGCTATCTAAGGCCCAAAAACCTCCACATATGGCACAACATTCAGAGCACCATGGGACCTGGGTGGGTGTTGGATCTGAAGTGACTCTGGCTTCCCCTGTGTTACCTAAGGAGCCACAGGGCAATACTATCTGGAAGTGTTGGGCAGTTGAAGCTTTGGCTAAGGGGAAAGAGAGGTTTATGAGTTGGTAGATTAGGTGTTTCTCATTCTTCTCCTACAAGAGACAGAGGCTCCATGGCACATCTATAGAGGTGGCCTGAGACACTGAGCACATAGCTGTATGTGCTATGGAGCCGTGGCTAGCTCAGGAATGTACTGCCTCGGACTGGCTCTCCTTTTCGGCTTCAGTTTCTTCTTTTCTTTTACTTCTGCTTCTTAGGATTGAACTATCTATGCCCCTACTCCCCAGAATTAACAAATAAGCTTTAGTTTCAGGAAACCAGAAGGAGCCATTTCCCAAAAGAATGTAACATTCTTGAGGACCAGGGTCTCGTTTTCTCCATTATATTTCCTGTGTGGTCATTGTTGAATGTCTATAAAAATTGTGCAAAAAACATGACTGCATTTATGTGAAGTTAAATGCTGAGGGGAAAAAGTCAGAAAGACATCTGTCACAATATTAGTAGTGGTCATGTTAAGGTGATGAGACTCAGAGTGATTTTCTTCTTTATTGTATAGATTTTCTTGCAGTTACTATATTTCAGATGAAAAAGGTCTCAATACAAATTTGTGAAAAGTTTTTAAAAAGCTCAAATTATCATTTTGGTGGGCATAACACATGGTTAACAGTCCCAGAACAATTTGTGTATGAATTTTTGAATGGAAATTTCATTTGCTGTATTAACTTTCACCTAAACACAATTAAATGATTTCTAAAAAGGTAACTAACACAGGTTAAAACTTATGGGTCTTCTTAGGAAGCAGTTTGTATCCAAGACCTGTTTTATTTTTTAAAAGAGAGTCCATTGCCTGTTTTAGGTGTTTTGTATTTTGGTGGTATCATTGCCAATATCCTGGATATTCCGGATTATGTTATTCATATTGAGTTAGTTTAAGGGTACAGGAAATCTCTCCATGTTATTTGATATTATTTCATGTAAATCTGAAATTATCCCCAAGAAAAAGTTTAATTAAAAGTAAAAGAAAAATATTTTCTAAAGAGAGGGGCCATTGCCAAAAGAAGAACTTGTATACAGATATTTAGTAAATATCTGATGACATTAGCTTCCTCATCTTCAAAAGGAAGCAAGTGGTCACAGGAGGCTGGGCAGTTAAGACATCTATGCATTACATAAATATCCTTTCACTCTAGATGAGGAGAGACTACCTTCCAAATGGAAGGAATATGCTTACCCTATCTCTTTAATTATGGAGCGCTAGTGGTCTATTCTGTGATTCTGATTCTGAACATATGGTGCTGCTGTGAGTCAATATGACTTCAATTTAAAGTTGTTAAGTACAACTGTAATGTACAACTTCTAGTCCAGGATTGCCTTCTCATATGCAAGTTCAAGTTGAAGTTGAGGAAAATTAAATCAAGTCCACGGGAACCAAGATTTGCTCTTAAGTCTATCCCACTCGAATTTCAAAACCATCTCAGGAACAGGTTTGAGGCCTTGAGCACCAA